ACACAGACAGAAACAACAGAGGGAAAGTAAAGAAGTAGGACCTACCAGTGACACCCTCCAACCACCCACACAGACAGAAACAACAGAGGGAAAGTAAAGAAGTAGGACCTACCAGTGACACCCTCCAACCACCCACACAGACAGAAACAACAGAGGGAAAGTAAAGAAGTAGGACCTACCAAAGAAGTAGGACCTACCAGTGACACCCTCCAACCACCCGCTGCAGAGTGAGTGAAGACCCAGCCACTGGAAGTCCGCCCCAGAATTCATGAACACGTCTGAAGCGTTCCATGTTAACTACATTGGGTATAATTTTGAGTGACAGTTATGTCCACCCACGACATTAGGAAAATTCAAATTAGGTAGCTGATTAGCGACTTGTTAATTAATGATTCTTTCTCATTAGTACATCACATTCAGTGCTTACAGTACATTGTACACGTATCTATAATCCAAACACAAAAAGATGTGCGCATTCAGGAGTGCACACAAAAACAACCCCAGAACAAAATGGGGCAAGAAGTGAGTAGTCTCAGCATTGGCCTACCTTTGTCCTGTGAGCGAGTCAGACGAGTCTTCACGTGGGTTGATGACTACTCTTGGTTGGATGAACTCAAGTCCTTCCTTCTCCCAATACTCGTCCTCCATACGTTTTCCACTGCCGCCAACAAACTTTGTCCACTCGAGATATCGCATTGTCTGTTAGCTGTTTGATATCTTTCAATTTACAAGTTGTATTTTGAGATACAACCGCCTTTGATCTTCGCCCAGACGAGTTCAATTCGATTAAGATGGGAGTGGCAGGCAAATATGTCCGCATTGCTTGAGATGAAAGAAAGAAAGTCATTAAAAACCTAATTGATTTCGAGTCTCGCTCCACGTGCGCTAATGTAGTTGAGTAAACAATCCCGTGATTTGAGCAGTGAGCAGCCGAGGTTACTGGTGAGTTTTCCCTCCGCTCCACGTGCCCACGTGCTGTGACGTCCGTTGGGTGGATTGCTCACACCTAAGGGCTGTGCAGCATGAGGAGATGAACATGTCGGAAGTTGTTGAATGTAAACGACTGATTGTACTAATTGTCCCACTGTTTGATGGGACGAAAGAGCTCGTCCACGGCCTGTACGACTGGTGTGAATTGTCTTTGAATGTCGGGATTGCTGTACTGTAACTAGCCTACAGTGTCGACGTTTGTGTCTATGATGAGGTGTTCCAACATTCCAGAACAAGCTACACCAACAACAACATCAACAATGGCCGCCTATCAGCCGAAGGACAAAGAAACCCAAACAAACAACACAACAAACAAAACAACAAACAACAACTCGCCCCCCCCCCACCCGCAAAAAACGGGAAAAACAACAACAAACCCCCAAAAATCTTCATTGTTTCCATTTTTTTCCACAAAATAGTATTTTGCTGTTTATTTCGATAATCAATGTTTTGGCCGAACATGGTTAAACAGGAACCATTGCAAGTCTCAAGAACAGAACAATTCAACAATACACGACGATATCGTCAGCGTCATACAGTCGGCCACATCAATATCGTCAACGTCATACAGTCAGACACAGCTATATCGTCAGCGTCATACAGTCAGACACAGCTATATCGTCAGCGTCATACAGTCGGCCACAGCTATATCGTCAGCGTCATACATGTACAGTCGGCCACAGCAATTTCAGGGAGATTCTGCTTCAAGATAAACGCGTGATTCCCAGAACGTTATGCGAGGGCTGTCTTAAAGTGGAGTTTCGTTTTGTAAAATTCTTTCCTCCCCAGCTTGAGACAGAGACATACCAAACACCAAAGTCACGGCCCTCATCTGTGGGCCTCTGTACTATGAAAAGTCCACCATTGGTCAGACTATGACTCAACTATGACTGCCAGCTGCAGAAACGTGACAACTGTATTGGGAAAAAAAATCTCAGTCCTACAACATTATGTCCAATGACTTTGGCAAATTATCTTGAACTTTTCTATCGTGCGTATCCGAAGAGAGAGA